TATGGTGCACACAAGGAGCTGAACGTCAACCCAACCCATGTGATGAATGCAGCAAATGCTTCCTCGCGCACGAGCCCGACTTCAAGGAAACTACATTACTTTTACAAAAGATATGCGAACGGAATAACATTCAATGTGTATTTTTCTAAGTACCGCTGTGAGTGTAGCTATATAGAACGATATTGGGGCCCAGTAACAATGTTCTGCCGAAAGAACTGTCTTAATGAGTACGAGGGAATGAAAAAGGTTTTAGTCGAGGCTCTAGATAGCGTCCCACCTGCAAGAATATGACCGTTCGCGAGACATGCTAATAGATATCTACTTCTATTCAAAAGGAATGACAGGAGTAGCTGCTGTTTTCGCACAGAAGAAGTATACATCCCATAGACGGGTGCCGAATAGAGTATATCTAACAATTGATCAATTTATAGACCAGCACCTTTAAATAAATATGGATGTATATAAAACATGTGCAATTTCACGAAAACAAAGTCCAATATTGACCGTCAGATATTTCTGTAAATTGGTGTACAGGGGCAGTCGGTCATTGTGAGTTCAAATCCGCAGAGCTTGAAGCTCTATTTTTATTAGAACACCTTCATATATCGGGGAGGGGGGGGGGGGGGAAGTGTTTTTCGGCACAGTTGTGGCCAAATCTGAAAATCCAAATTTTGAAATGTGATTATATAATTTCAATCAGCTCATCTTTTTCAGGTCGATGAGTTAAGCCCAAATCCATTGAGAAATCCCGATTTGAGCCGTTATTAAAAAAACCACTGACTCCTGACAATAGGGTTCGGGAAGACCCGGGTTTTTCTTGTTGTGTGCACCATTTTTTATAAAAAATCATAGCCTGAGGCTCCTAATAAAACAAAACAAAACAAAATGTACTGTAATACGCATACAGTAGTAGGGCCTACTTGAGGGTATCAGACATAGAGTAAGGTTACTCTTTGGTAGCTCTAAAGCACTTGAAGCTATGCTATAGTTTTTATAGCAAGAAAAACCATACAGCAAGTGGGTAACATTAAGTTGGTGAAAAACCTTATTAAGGTTGTCTCATGCAAATCCTAATGTGGACTTATTTAAGGTTGTACTTAAAACTTAAAACAACTTGAAGAACTGTTTGGAATGATTTCACAGTTAGGTTTGTTGTAGACAAGTTTATATAATCCTGAAGAGACATTGTATATAAACTGAATACAAATTGTAGAGAAACATCAAGCAGGTTGAGTCTTCAACTTGTCTAATGAACTTTGTAATAAAGAAGGTTTTTGCTGCTAGAAGAGCAGTTTTCCTTTCTACCTGGAGTAATCAATACTTGCACCTGAGCGTATTACAGATTTACAGTACAAACATACATACCTGATACAGTATGTATTTAAATATTTACATACAGTATACATATACATGTATTTTCCGTAAGTTTTTATTTTAAAACAAAAAGAGTATATATTTCATTTAGTGAATCTGTATTATTAAGGGCTATGGACTATAAAGCCTGCGGTGGATCAGGAATTTAAATAGTCCCCTTCACATGGGTCATGTCATGTGGGGCTGTGGCCTGTGGCTCAGGGTTCAGGCCCGCAGACTCACAGGACGCAGTCTTTCAGACTTTCACTCTCTCGCGTGTGTGTGAGACTGGGAGTTCAAAGTTGTGAACTTGTGTGAACTTGTGTGAACTCTTGTGTGTTGCTTTGAGTTTCAGAGTTTGCTGGAGCGGTGGAGCCGCGGAGGCCTGAGGCCGAGGGCTTGAGGGCTGAGGGAGCCTGAGGCCGACGATATTTTTTATTTATATATCTATTTTTTATATACATTTATAAATATGTTGTTTTTTCTATACAACCCGCGTAATTACACCTTGTGTCGGTACATAGTACATACCGGTAGTCCGACAATGCGGATCTTAAAAATTATTATCTTTGTCCTGCGCCAAAATGGAATTATATTTGCTCGATTTCACCGTTGGAACAAAGTATCTTCCAGACTTCGAAGCACGACGAGGCCTCAGAAATCTGCGCCCAGGGCGGAGTTAATCAGGAGAAAGAATCTATTTTCTAAAGCAGATAACGTCGTCAAGTCTTCTGTAGGATTCGTAAATTTTGACAACCATATTATCATCAAATGTGCAATGAAATTCAATTTGTAGTAGACCTTAAAAAGGAATGATTGACATCCTACATCTCTCATACACTGCAGCGCACGAAAGACGAAGATCACAACTAAGTAGACAAAAGTTAATAACAAACTATACGTATATACATCTCAAAATGCTACTTAAAGCGCTCTTTTTCGGTTTCGGACTGTCCTTTGAGCTTCAGTCCGTGACAGCACAGGTACGTATCCTTTAACTGATTAGCCCAGATTGGGATGGACATTGCTATCGAGAGTTCATATATGAGATAGACTGTGTGTGCACAACGATACTCCAAACCCATAACTCAAATGCAAATATCTTTTCTGCTCACCAGGAATGTGTCCCATCGGTGCTGACGGACTACACTGCCACCGTATCAAGTGGGGGCCTTAGTGGACCCGTGTACTCTCGATATGGCACAGAAGAAAATTCTGTTTTCGTGACCGAAGACGTTGCTCATACGTAGGTGCAGCAATTTGACATGGTACTAAAAATAGACGCAACACAAAGTTTGTTTTCAACCGCAAATTGGCTAAATTCTTCAATACCCAATCGATCATGGTGTTTAATTTTGATTGCAACTCCCTTATAATTTTCTTATTATCCTCACAGCTTCACTTTCAAATTTGACGTCCCTGAAGACACTAAGGTGTACGTCAAAGATGATGCCGGGCAGTTCGTTGAAGCTATGGAGTATTTTGAAACGAAAGATATCACGGGATTGGATATGTTCAATGTGAAACATTATTCACAAAGCAGCCAAGAATGGAGTTTGATTGACATGGATGTGTTCGCGGATCCAAAAGTCGAAGCTGGTACCTTCACTTCCGAGCTTTACGACGGAGTCACTGAAAACGGCAAGGTAAGGCAGGATAGGTAATCCCAGGGTCTGAAATAGCGACTTAGTTACCATATTTTAAACGCAGTGGGTTTGCTCAACATTTGATATCGTTTCGATGAATGAAGCTATCCGAGAGATATTCTCAAATTTCTATATATTTTATAGAATGAAATAGTTGTCAAACTGTATTTACACCACCACCTTATAAAATATCATCGAGTTCAAAACAGTCTTCATCAAACCATAGGCCAATATGCAGGGCCGATAGCCTTGCAGCGCCAATAACCTATGTATCGTTTTTAAGGACTCCTTTTCCAGTCAGTCATGCTTGTAGTCATACCCATCCACAATGAAAAGTCTCCCAATATTAACCAATTTTTTCCCGTCTCTCAGATCGCTCCAACATCCGATGGATTCATGGTGATTGAACTGAAAGAGCGCACCTTCTACGATAGCTCGCTAAGAGAACTATTGCCGATACCCATTATGAGTATTACCACCAGCTTTGACACTAATACGGAAACAAACGCAGAGGTATCAACTGGCGAATTCAGTGTTTGGGTCTGAGTTGGTCACTTTCAGTACACTGCATACATGTTGCTAGCATTTTCTCATATAACATTCACATTTGATGGCTTTTAACATCACAGAGAGAAAGAGTCATGAACTACCATGTTGGTTGTACCGCGTGGGCGGAGTTGATTGAATCAAGCAGCCAGGTGGAATTAGTGTGCCCACAGCCCTCAGCTTTGAATTTCGGAGTCGGAAACTTACCAAATATAAATACAGATACTACGGAGTCAACATCCATTTCAAGACCGCAACCTATTCGACTCTTCGGTGAGGTATCAAATTATGTGCCAGGAAATACTGTGGAAATCGATTACACCATGGGTGGCCCAGGATTTTACATATTGGATACTTTGGATGTACCGGTGATTACCGGGGGCGTGGCGTACGAAATTCGCAGCTTCGAACCCATCGACACGAGAATCGCTTATTCACCTCAGGGGTTTGAAATTTCATGGATTTCCACCGACGAAGAGGGGGCTCCTATCGAATCCTTCAAGGAGGAGACATTTGATTTCCGATACCCTGATCTCGTCAATGGTGAGTCAGGTGCCTGCGATAGCTGTGATTGCAATCACCCTATCAGCCCCTTATCGCCGCAAATTATTCGAGAACCGAGACCGTTCACGAGCTTCAAGCAGGTCGTTCCCGACGTTCTTCATGCTGAGGCATACGAGAATTACGAGTACTCCAGCAACTCAGCTTTCGCGTTGGTACCCATTCTGAGACCCAATTACACAACATATTTGGCTCGTGCTGATGCATTCTCATCGATCAGGGATAATATTTGTATTATTGGTACAAACCTCGACACTTTTATGGTGCGAAACACTAGTGCGCTGTATACAGGTTGCGGAGAAATTGACTACGTACCCCCAGTTGAAGGCATGTGCACAGTAACTGATGATTGCCTCGCTCGGCTTGATAGCAATGCCTTAGTCACGACTTCGGCATTTTTCGGACACCCTGAATACAAAAAGCTTTATGATGATTTTGCCTCAAACTCCACGAAACGAAGCATGGAATATGAACTCGCAAATGGCGAGTTTTCTACACGCCACGTTCCGGATTTAACGGGAGTTGAGGGCCACACAGGGGTAACTTCACTGTACGGTACAGAGGCGTTCGAAATTCTGGAGCCCTTCCTTTACTACAACCAAACCGAGTGGGAAACCCAGGACAACTCTGTGTTGCTGGAACAAGCATGTAGCCAAGTTGTTTGGGAACCAAGCCTTGTGCCATATGAAGAAGATAAGGGAAAGTTGGTTCTCACAAACGTCACTAATGCCGGTACGGGAAAGGCTCTCGTGACCATCACGGTCAATTGTACCGGTGACAACATAGTCACGCCACCAGCTAGTACATATACTGTATCAGAATACAAGCCTCTGGAGAGACTTGAGATTGAATTGAGGGTGACTGGCATTGCAAACTCGACTACAAGCGAGTGCTCCGTGACAATGACACTGGAAGAAAAACCATTGTGGGTGTCATCAGGGAAAACTGTAAACTGTCCAGGTATGAACTTCGATACTGCTCTATTTTAACATCGATTATTGTTTGAATTGATAGATGAGCCTGCAATACGTACTACTCAGAAGCTTGTGTTGTGTTGCGAGTCGTCACTCGTCTAGTTTTGATTCAATATTTCATTCGATTCAATATTTCCTTTATCAGACAGCCTAAACTTTCTGTTTGAATCGCTGTGTTGCTTTGATTTGGTTGTCAGCGTTCGGACTTGAGCCGTCTGTTCTGTATCGCTAAGAAAGGGCGGCTCTATATTGCTAAGGAAGGACGGCTCCATATTGCTAAAAAACATACAGCATAGAGTCGGTGTTTGCATGGCTTTAACTTGTGGGGTTGATGCGTGGGGTTGGTGCTTGCGACTAGACTTGCATTTGCAGATCACACTCACCAGGCCGTTAGATAATGAACTCAATCTCAATAATGAAATTACGCATCGCAGATATTGCAACGATCCCGACGTACTTCGGTCTATTCACGCACCCTTGCGATCTGGTGAGGCCCAAACCAGTTCTTGATATAATCCCAACCAAGACTAGCTATATGATTCTAAGAAATATCCCGACCAAGGTTTTGGAAGTCGATGTCACCAACAATGGCACAGATGCAATTATTCGAACCACCTCCAATTCCACTCGATGTGTATACGGCACTGGAAATGAAACCGGCTCTTCTACAACGGAGTCCAACTTCGTGGCCAATGCTAGTAGCACCGTCACTCAAAATACACACATTCTAACGGGCGATGATCCAGCCTGCGATATCAATTTCGACTGGCAGAAGCACGAGTTCTGTCAACGATTTGAGACTGTAGGTAGTCTCAGTCTAATCCTCGCGAACTCTGATCTTGCGGACGAGGACACAGAATTGGGTATCGGAATGGCTGCGGGCTTATCAGCGGCGGTGGGCATCTCAATCGTATTTGCTGCTCTTGCTGTGTATCTCCTGTACAGAAAGACTCGAGGCAGTATGGGCGCTCGAGGATCGTACCTGAGCTTGTCCGGATTTACCCACGAAAGCATGCGTATGTGTTCTGCGAATTCGCACTGTTTCATTTTCTAATTTCATTGTTATGAAATTGTCCCTCTTTGCGACTTGCCATTGCGATATTTAATAGACGGACATTCCACAGCTTCACATTTTGCCATGTCTCAAGCGATGACTCTTCCTTCTTACAATTCAGTGGCACCCGAGGAAATGGTGCTTCTCTCAGCCGATGGTCAGTATCGAAAACTGACCCAATTCACAGCCACTCGACACTCCGAATTATGTCTGCTGCACGCGAACGATCAGGAAGTAATCGTCTTCGGCACAATCCTGGGTAAGACCGGCGATAGCAGGGACATAGTGATCGACGACATCCGTGAGATCTTTTTGGATCGAGAGAACGATGATGTGTGGATCGAAACTGAGCGTTGCATGTACTTTTTGGACAAACCACAAGCCGAGTATAACATATTCTTCAGTTCTTTGAAGACAGACCTGAAAGTATTGATGGATGCTCAAGCTGCTGGAAATTAAGTGACATGGACGCAAATGTACCTGCCGCTCATAGATTCGAACACAATCACATTCTAGCTCGCAGAGAAATCACTAGCAACATTCACTAATAAATGATATGACATTCGTAGTATATATACCTGATTTCCAAGTGTTTGGCTTCCAATCTACCCTAAGTACATCGAATTGTGAGAAGTACTTACACCAGTAAAACAGTACCGAAAAACACAACCTTTACAAAATCCATGAAAGGTGAACCGAAAACATAGATAGCACAATATGAGGAGATGTATGACTGATATGTTTACTTTGGTGTTACAATATTTTTAAATACTCGCCGATGTATGAAGCAACAACAGCGATCAGAACAGTAAGCAAAACATTTATTGAGGCTTATGCTCGGATACAAGTTGAGCTAGTCTAGATCTTAGTAACATATTGTACCAAAACTGGAACATATTGTAACAAACCTGGAACATATTGTAACATACCTAGAAACACACTAACAACTTTAATATCAGCTGAGTGTATACAATATAGAAACAATTATAGTAGTAGAGAATATTTCTGTAATGTTTGGCAGCGCTGAATTTAAAAGACCAATAGATACAATGCTCTGTAAGAACACCGACAATTACATTGTTACAACATAGCCAAACCGAGTGCCTTTTCAAATGTATATACTATATATAGAGTAAATATAGTATAGTATATATATACATATATACACGCACACACCACACACACATATTTAAAAAAAAATACTCGTACAATTATATATAGTATATGTATATGTAATATACATATACATGTATATATGTATACGAATATACGCATATATATATATATATATATATATATATACATACACACATATATATACATACACACATACACACACACACA